TTCAAATGGTGTTGCAAACTCTTTCTGTATTTGAAACCATTCTGTAAAAATACCATTTAACTTTGATTTTCAAGTGAACAAGTGAGGTTAGGCAAGATTAATTTGCATTTGTAAACAAAACCTTTTTCATTGGTTTTTATCGATAAACTCCCGGTTACCATTACCTTTAAACACGGCCAAACCAAATTAAGTCGCTTTCTGTGTTTTCAGGGACTGCTTCGTCGCTATTTGAGTGATTTTTTTGCTTGTCACGGATGCAAACCGGCACGCCATTGTTTCCCGAGTTGCTCGGAGGTAAATAGCAAAGGATATTCGGAGTTTGACTAGCCAATCAGAGCGCGCCTTCAACGCCATTCACTGTTTTAGTATATACTAATCATGGATATTCGTGGCCGTAAAATTACAAGATGGGAACAAGATTGAAATAATTTCAGCCTTGCGTGACAAATGCTCGAGTGTGTCACATCTACACACAGATTGCTTTCCGTCTTCAACGTCTTCGGCAACGACCATTAGACCTACCGTTAGAAATAATTGAATTGTCCTCTTTCAGGTCCACAGTGAAGCTCAAGTTTACCCTGGAACTTTCTTAAAACTTATAGGTGTTCGAATACGCAAAGAAAAACAGACACCCTCTGATCTTACGGAATGTGTTATTGTAAACAATTTCGCCATGGGAAATGGATGAGAATTTGGAACGAAAGCAGTGATAAATACCAATCTGCCGGGGTTAGCTATGCAAGGCTAGCTTCCTGTATTGATTTCCTGATCAAACACGTTGCTAACTTCCAAAATGTGCTCGGAATTCCGATTTAACCACTGGAAGCCTAATCAGATTATGTCGTGACGTAAAGACGATGTTGCGATTTTCACAAAGTTCAGCCTGGTTTTTCCGTGCGGAAATAAAAAGCCCCAAATTAATTTTTATATTCTAGAAAAAAAAAACATTTCCACTTATTACGAGCTTAACCTGAATCGATTCTGAGTTATACCGCATGAGAAAAATGATAATTGAAATTTCCAACGAAATGCGACATTTTCGGATTTTGAAATATTGCTGATTTCAAAAAGCATCCCGTGAGCTCAAAATTAAATGAAATGGTCCCGTTTTAGACTTAAGCCATGCCTCAATCCCTCCTAGATAAATTTGTCGAATTGATAAGAGCTTGTTTTCTTTTTCACTTCTCACGAGCAAAGTTTATTTCCCTCTACTTGGGGCACTGATTTCCGCCATTTTACGGCTACCGACGCTCGTTTCAGTTTTCGTGAATTTTTTAGGATAAAGAAGCAAGTCTGGAAAAAAAACTTACCGCGTTTCTAAGTTCACTATAAGGTATCTCTGAGCAAAATACGAAGGTTTTCAATTTTTTGATCGTGTGCCACATTTTGCGATTTTCACTCGGTCAATTCAAATATTCGCTCTTAAGAGAGATCTCAAGATCTTGCTCGGCTGCCACTTATTAGATGAAATTACGACGATCACCATTTGAAAATAAAGAGAGATCTTAAAACCTTTTGCGTCACTGAGCTGATTATTTACGGGTAAACCAATCTAACTAAACTTAGAGCTTGATTTATTACTAATCAAATTGAATACGACGAAGTTAATTTTTAATTATCAGTAAAGAGAAACGATTGAATGACCTGGACAGTGTAGCTACGCTGAGGCAAGGATACCGTTTTTATGATGTATTTACACTTCTGACTATTTCACTTTTCAGGAAAAGTTTTGATAAACCTGCGAGTGTCACAAATCTCCTGAAACACCTATCGCACATCGAGCGGCTTCACATTTCTTTTCTTTTTTTTCTTTTTTGAGGGGGGGGGGGGAAGAGTGGGGGTAAGTAGGTTGTTTGTAATTACAACAATACCTGAGACGAGAACATCTTTCACGCTTGCATTTTAAAACTTAAAAATTTATGGCACAGGCCCCCTGATATCGGCTATCATAAATATCTTTGGATCTAAACACAATCATTTCAACTGAGCAGATGAGCGCCCATCCAACTAACATTTACGAAAAAGGGACAATTTGATAGACCTTTTCACTTTCAAAGTGTAATTGTACTATCTATTGAGCATCACATGAAAATATAAAGGTAAAAATTAAAGTGCTCACAGAGAGACCGCCTTAAAATGTAAACTTCAAACGTTCATAACATGGACAGAAAATATTTAAGGTTGCATATAACGTAGCTCTCGTGTACGTTTACATTACTCGGCGATAAAGAGTCAGTGTTACTATATGAAGTATTTAAAAATTTAGTTCAAGTTCAGCACCAAAGGTGGACCCGACTTGAAGTTCCATGAGGCCACAGTTGGTTCCCAGCCTTGCTCCAATGGTTTCTTGAATGGGTTGGCCGGCTTGCCTTTTCTGAATAAGGAAATAAGTCCACAAAAATTTATACATCATATTTAGCTCCAAACCAATGTTGCGTTGTAGAAGTATCTAATGACGAGCAGCGGTGATTTGGATTTGTTTTTTGATCAATATACTTTCCGAAATTGTTTTCGTTCCTGATTGTATCTGGTTTTCCATCAAATGCACATCCTTTTACTTTGCTTTCGTAACTCTTTATGTGTCAATGTGCATTTACGTTCTGTTTTGTCAGGGCGGTACAATTAGAACAATTCTTTCCTCGGATGTTGACATATTCATACATCTGACATCTGATCCAGCTACCAAAAATGTCGTGACCTGTCAGCTTTGCGCGTGCGTAGTCCGAATACTGCAGACCATCTATAAGAAAGTTACAAGTTGCTCTCAAATGTGTGGAGTGATCAGCAAGAGAGTGCATCTGTGACAAGGAAAGTCGGTACCTGTTCCAATCTACTACCCTTTTTTCGGTATCAATCTCAATTTTTTCGCCAAACCTTTTATCCATATAGATCCTTTTTGCGGCCAAGGAAAACGATTGTATCAATGTCCATACAAAGCCTGATTCAGAATGCAAGTCACAATAGACAAGAAACGCTTCAATGTTGGAGTCAAGGATCTCATACTCTCCTGAAGTCGAAGCACCATACTTTGCGACGTCCTCACAACTCCTCATTATAATCTTCTCACACCACTGACCAGTATAATTATTAGGACAAACACAAGAAAACCGGACGCTGTAAGTGACGCAAATCTCCTGACATACTCCTCCGTTGAGACAAGGATTGGGGCTGCAGCATCTGTTGATGCAACGGTACTTTCTCCGGATGTATTTGTCTCCACCCTAGAGCAATATTTAGTATTTCATCAGTTTAAGTTTTTTAACATGCCTCTTACAGCACTGGTGTTTACCCTATATCTAGTTTGAAGCGTAACCTCAAAACATATTTTTTCAGTCGAGCTTTAAGAGCCACCGACCGTAAATGTCCTGGCTTAGCTGAAAGATTGGCCTTGACCTCTTGCGTGACAGCCGTTCAACGAATCGCATTACATTTTTTGTCACTATTTTAGCCCGAACTCTTTGAAAGGTGGACGCGCTGCCTATGGCGGGCCAAAAAAGAAACTTAGAGGAATTAAACTACAAGGATAAAACTTTAATATGACATATTTTGGTTTGTAAATATATCATACAAGACCCTTTTAAAGCCCTTTGAATGAGTCGTGACAGCTGTTCAACGGTTCGCATTGCAATTTAAACAAAATAGCCCAACTCTTTTAAACCTGGATGTGCCGATTATACCGGGCCAAGATAGAGAATTGGAGGAATAAATATATAAGGATAAAGCTTTAAGATGATGTATATTGTGATTTTTAAGTATATCGACTTAAATCAAGCAAAGCTGTGGGCTCAGATAACATTCCACCAAGACTTCTAAAGGACGCTTCTGTAATGATCACTAAACCTATCATAGCAATAATTAATGCTTCACTGTCTCTGAGCAAAGTTCCTGACGACTGGAAAGCTGCTTATGTTATTCCATTATTTAAGAAAGAGAGGAAAGACAATGCTGACAATTATCGCCCCATATCTCAGTATCTTACCTGAAATATCAAAGTTACTTGAACGAGTGGTGTATACTCAACTTGTAAGTTATTTACAAGAAAACGTCTACTTAGTATATTCCAGTGTGGATTTCGCAAACAGCACTCAACAACATTTGTAGCTCTGTCTTACGTGGACACAATCCGGCGAACTATTGATCAGGGTATTATGACGGGAGCAGTTTTTGTGGACTTGCGTAAGGCATTCGATACAATATATCATTCTATTTTGTTGAGGAAACTGCATTTTCTTGGAATCAAAGGCAAAGTGCTAAACTGGTTTGAAAACTATCTGTCTGGCCGCACCCAAGTTGTTGGCGTCGGTGGTGCCTCGTCTTATCCTCTACACATAATATCTGGTGTTCCACAAGGTTCCATATTGGGCTCTCTACTCTTTGTTATTCATATCAACGATTTGCCCTGCTACGTTAAGATTTGTAATATGCTTATGTACGCAGATGATACCGTTCTGTTTTTTGCCGGATCTAACTCTAAAGTCCTCGAAGACAATCTGAATCAAGACCTGAATACTTTGGGTGAATGGCTTCAAGTGAACAGCTTGTTTCTTAATACCACCAAGACTGAAGCCATGCTATTTGGAACTCATTTTAAACTGTCCAAACCTAAAGACTTTGATATTACTTTTCACGGACAAAGTTTAAAATGGGTAAACATGTTCACCTATCAGGGTATTATATTTGATGAGACTGTTTCTTGGGCTCCCCACATTCAGCACATTATATCTAAAGCTGGCAAAAGATTAGGTATGCTATCTCGATTACGAAGAAATTTAACTTGTCATGCTGCCAACACTTTATATCTATCATTTATCCGTCCAATTTTTGACTATGGCCACACTGTATAGAATTGTCGTGGAGTGGGAAATGCCAGACTGCTGGATAATTTTCAAAGAAGGGCATTCAAAATTGTTTCAAGATCTATGGATAGTGACAAAGCTTTAATGGATCTTAAATGGCCTGAGTTACAGTCGAGAAGAGACGTTAGTTAATAAATGCATTTCTGGCAACTTTCCTCAGTTTTTAAAGCAATATTTCAATTTTAATAATAACAGAACAAGACAGAGAAATTTACTTCATCTGCCTCGTGTTAGAACTGAAACAGCCAAGAAATCTTTTTATTATCATGGATGTGTTGTTTATAATACTTAAGTTAATTACAATTTTCTATAATATTTTATATTGAATAGATTCTTATTGTTTTGTGATTATTGTACCATTGTAGATATATAGATTTAACAGTATTGTACGATATTTAGATAGCATATATATTACTCTTGCCGCTGTTATTATTATTAGCAGTATTATTTATATTTATTTTTGTGCATTGTATTTATTTTAAGATCGTATTTACCAGGGCTCCTATTGATAGCAGAGCTTTACGTACTGATGGGACTACCCTCGTGTTTGGATTGTTATTTATTTTTAAATAAAGGTGTCATCATATGGCAGACCTGTTCATAGGCCACTGAAGTTGACCTTTATTTTACCTTCGCGAAAGAGACGCGAAGTACTTTAATCGGAACTGGTCACTATTCAGACTTAAATGTAACAACATAACAAGAAATTAATATTTCCAAGAGATGAAAGGACCACCTGCTAGCACGCAAAATTTAAAAGCGGGATTGCACAGCGTTGTAGGGTACGAAGTTGTCGAAGTTGCATAATTTTTCATTGCTTTAGGGGGGGACAACGGCCATTTAGGCGTATTTTGAACTTTTAGAATTTTCGGAGAAAAAAAAGCACGATAGAACTTTTTGATATAATTTTCGTAAAAGGTTTGTTAAAAGGGTCCTTCAGAAAAAAGAAAACGAATTACGAAATTTTACCGACTGTCGGCAGATTCTCGATATTTACGGTTAGTGTTTCTTATAAAAATAAGTTTGTTTCCTATAGTAATGTAGAGTTTTTACCCTCTTAAGAGAATTATAAGGTTTTTTTAATATATTTTTTCTCAGTTCATGAGCGGGCGGTATTCTACGAATCCTGCGATCTGATTGGTTCCGAGAGCGGGCACTATTCTCCCCATCCGGTCCGCTCACGGCGGGCGGTATTCGTTTCGCTTGAGTCATTTTGCAGAAAATCTGAAGCTTCGTTGCAATTTTTCACAAATATATCTCATTTTGCCAGCTGGGCAGAAATTTTGAGCAAAGACTTCGATCACGACCTTTTGGCGATAAATAATATTGATTTTTTCTTCTCTCTCGCTCTCAAATCACGTTGGTTTTTCGGCAAAAATTGATTTCGAAATAAATTTTGTGGTACTAAATTTGTTTCTAAAAAGATTGAAACGCGGCCTAGAAACGATTTGTTATTTAATAATCCTTCACAAAAAGTAACTCAGAAAGTTAAAACGAGAGGTAGTTGCAGTTAACGATTACTTTAATCAATGTGATTCTCAATCGTTAATATCTGAATTCTTCAACACAATTTGTTCGTTTGTGAAACGTTGAGCGAAGTTTTGAGTTCTTCTATAAAACACATTCGCCTATTCTTCGCAGGTCCCATTTTA